AAATCCTTACTTTCACGAGTAAAGAGAAAGGAAGGAAAACAACTGTTCTGACTTCTTTAGCAAGATTATTTTTCAGTCTTTTTTTTTTTAATTGCCCTTTAAAATAATTTCTCTAGGAATGCTTGAAATGCTAGGTGCATGGGATAAAAGCATAATAAAGTTATCATATGCATTTGATTTCTTACTGCAGTACTACATTGAAAGATCTAGTAGTCAAAACATAATTCCATCATTGCAGCTTGCTGTAGATAAACCTCAAATAGTTTTCTGAAACTGCTTCACTACTGATTTTATTTATAATAAAAAAAAAAACCAAACCCAACAAACTAGTCTTAATTTGTTACTTTTTCTTTCAAATCACAGCAGAATGAAAGCTTGAGTGTATCTGTGCATACCTAGAGATTAATTTGCGGCGTTGTTGTATGACAGTTTTATAGTTCTGCATTTTCAGGTGTTCCAAACATTACATTTTATGACTTTACTGAAAGTTGAGATGTGCCATGGTGTGACTTATATTACAAGAAGTATAGAATACCATGAAAAAAGGAGTAATTTCACACTATTTTAAAAGTGTATTTGTTGAAATACAAAGTTTCTGTGTCTATTTGGGTTAAAAAGATGAGCAGTGTATAGGAAGTCATGTTTAAGTTTATTCTATTAAAGCATATGTTATGCTCTGTAACCAAACTTATTTTTATAACTTTAAGAGATTAAATTGGTTGTCAGTGTCATTTAATAGCAACAACTTCTATTCACAGTGTATTAGAACAGCACAAACTGACAAAAGAACAGTGGGAAGAAAGAATACAGAACTGGCATGAAGAGCACAGGGGAATGTTAAGGTAATTATGTAGAAAACGTTCCAAGACCTTTAAGGGGTTTTTTATTATTAGGATGTATTTTGGGAGTCGTAATATTTCTTTGGAAACTGCTTTATTTTATTCCAACCAGGGTAGGCAGTTATCAAAAACTTCCATGAAAGATCTGGTGAGGGTTGAGTTTCCAGTTAAGTTACCTATATGGTTTCTGGTAAGGTTGTCAACTGCCTTGTCCACCACAGTTGCCTGCCTCTAAAATATGCTTATTTCCTTAGCTCATAGGGTGAAAAGACAAAGAGCGGTGATTAAACTATACTTGGGTATTAGGTTGTAGAGCTCTCTTAAGTATCTGAATCAATGTACATATGAATTTCAAAGAGGAGAGATTTAATTTAGACTGGATATAAGGAAAAACATTTTTACAATGAGGGTGGTAAAGCCCTGGAACAGGTTGCCCAGAGAGGCAGTGGAGGCCCCATCCCTGGCAACATTCAAGGTGAGGTTGGATGGGGCTCTGAGCAACCTGATCTGGTTAAAGCTGTCCCTGCTCACTGCAGGGGGGTTGGGCTAGGTGATCTCTAAAGCTCCCTTCCAACCCAAAGCATTCTATGATTCTAATTCCTAACTAAATTTTACACTAATTACTTATTCTGCAGTTCCCTTATTCTTACAATATATCTTTGATTTGTCTACACTCTGCCATTTTTTTCTTCTTTCATCAGGGAAGATTCTATGATGGAATACCTTAAGATAGCACAAGACTTGGAAATGTATGGAGTCAACTATTTTGAAATAAAGAATAAAAAAGGAACCGAATTGTGGCTAGGAGTTGATGCTTTGGGTCTGAATATTTATGAGCATGATGATAAGTAAGTGGCTAATACTCATTTTGCAGTTCTGTCCTAGGAGATCCTATCTGAGATTGTACAAAACCCACCTTATTGTGTGTTCAGTAACATCTAGCAAAAGAGGTTCTCAAAGACATTCTAATCTATGTAAAAGATAGAAAAAGAGAGAGAGACGTTAACTGCCAGAATATTTGAATTTTAAAGATTAAATAGGGATGCAAAAGAAGGGAAAGGAGGAGCAGTTCTGTGTAAACTTAAATTTACGTTGCTTAATATGGATGTGTGATAGCTAGACCATCTTTACATGGGTTTTTTCTGTACTTTTCACTCCCTCAAGACTTCCTTTTCAGTCAGGGTGAAAACAATATTGAGAAGCTGACCAACATACTCAATGAGAAACATTTGTAAAAGCAGTGACTAGGATTATAGCTGTTAGAGCATGAAGAACTTTGGTATCTAAAAGTAAAACCTTTTCGACATCAAAGAAAATAGATGAATTTGATGTCTCCTGATAAAGAGATCAAATATTCTGTCCTACTTGAAGAACAGTAGAGCTGAAATATACAAAATTTGAAGAATCTGAAAACAGGAGAACAGACTTACAGTTTTGTTTCTTTCCAAACACTTGTTGGTAGTATCTGATGTCAACAGTCCTTTCACAGTGATTTGGAGTTAAATGTGATGTGTCAAACACCAGATAACAGCTGTCAACTGAACTGAAAATGGTCTTCGATGTATATGCTCTGTAACAGAATTCTGTAAGCCTTAATTGCCATTAGATGGCAATATAACTCCTGAAAGATGGAAATATTGAGAAAATGTTCAGATCAGGCTGAACGGTCAAGGAATTTTTGGTATTCTTTAACTCCCAATAGTTAGAAGTCAAATACTTAAACATTTTCTAATGCTTGTAATTAAGATAATATACATTGAAAAAACTTTCTGTGGTCATGGAGAAAAATATTTACAGTTATGCAGTTGGTGCATAACATTGTAACAGTTTCTGAACTGAATTTATTTTACTTAAGATGCAAGGGAAATAAATTTAACTTGAACTGTATGCATAGGAACGCATGTCTTGCGTCTGAGTTAAACTGAAGTACAACATTGCTGAAGGCTGATTTAATTTCAGCCTTTGGAATGTCAGACTTCTCAAATGTAAATACTTATTCTTTTCACTGAAAATAAAATTATCAACAGTTTATAAAGAATCAGTACATGATTGTGATATTTAGCATCTGTTTAATGATAGTAGAATAATTCACAAATTGAATTTTCTAAATTCCTTCTGTCACAGTGCTATGTAATTTACTCATTATGTAATTTATTCATTTGATGGAATAATGTGTAAAAAATTGTCTACCAAAATGTGCTTGAACTGTTGTTACGTTTTGTAAATGTAATTAAGTGTGATAGTGAAAATGGTACCGAGTTAAGACTTAGTGGACATAAATAAAATGTGCATCTTTGCTGCTTCTAATGAGAACTTCTTCTCTTTGAAGGCTGACACCCAAGATTGGCTTTCCTTGGAGTGAAATAAGAAACATCTCTTTTAATGACAAAAAATTTGTTATAAAGCCAATTGACAAAAAGGCCCCTGTAAGTAATGTGTAGAGTAGTATGCCTTTGTATAGGAAGAGATTTAAGCCTGCAGGGACTTGCTCTGGCATTATGGCATGAGTAAATATTTTGTGACATTTATTATTCTTATTGGTAGAATAGTAAGTAATCAAAAGGAAATTTTGATTTTGAAGTATGGTATGTTTATTTTCTCTCTTTCCATTCTGGTTGATATACTTAAGATATCCTCTCCCCTCCACCCCCCCTTATTTTAAGTCAAATAATATTTTGTGATGTGTTAAAAAGCCACAGTGTAAGATGCTAAATTCTCTGGCCCCCCACCTCTGGGTTTTTTGTTTTGGTTGGTTTTTAATATTACAGCAGCACATTTCATGAGACTTTCTAGGTCAAAACTGTTCCGTTAACTAACTTACTGAAATAGAGCAGAGAATCGTGTCACTTTTTTAGAAATTTAAGTAATCTTGTGGAAAATAGCTAACCTCTACATGAAGGAATCCAGGTGTAATTTTGAATTTATCTTGCGAGTTCCTTACAGTGACTAGATTTATAGATTATGATGTGGGATTGCTCAGAGGATGAATGTCAAAATATTTGTAAGTTTAAATTTAACAAATGCAAGCATGCAGTAATGCTTTGGGTCTTGTCACAACTGTATTTTTAGATTAATGGATATGCTACAATTATTTTTGCTAGGATTTTGTTTTTTATGCACCCCGTCTGAGAATTAACAAGCGAATTTTGGCACTGTGTATGGGAAATCATGAATTGTACATGAGGAGGAGGAAACCTGATACAATTGAAGTGCAACAGATGAAGGCCCAAGCTAGAGAGGAGAAACATCAGAAACAATTGGAAAGGTAATTAACAAACTTCCATGAAACAGAAAAAAATTCTTCTACCCTTTTAAGAAAACTAAGTCATAGAATATCAGACATCTTAGCATTCTAGAAGAAAGAGCTGCTTTTCTTTCTGTAATGTGTAAGCAGGCTTGTGGATTGGTATGGCTCACTTATCTTAATAGAAAGCTGTATCTTTTTGAGCTTTCAGCATAGTAATAGTAGCTGTACAGTTGTTTCACATTATGTTTTTGTGAAACGGTCTTAACTCTCTGTTGCTTGATTCTCAGGGACTTTTGTACTCTACAGGTGAACCTTTAAAGCAAGTTCACTGAAGAATGTCATGACTTACCTTTTGTATATTTAAAAAATACCATTGCCATTTCTAGCCCAGGTGAAATAGCAGCCATGTCTAAAATGCAGTATAATTGTGGATTTACCTGGTTGAACCACAACCAAGGCTGCTAATCAGTTTGGTTCATAAATTGTTTTTCTGTACAGTATTTTGAAACAGAAACTTGGTGGTTCTTGCATTGTAAACTGAACTTGAAACATTTAAAATTATGTGCTTCTTTACTAGCTGAGTAAACTGAAAAATAGGCTTGCAGTATCCTTAGAGTAGAACTTAACGTGTTTGAGGTTAAAAAAACCTTTTACTTTTTTTTTTTTAGGGCACAATTAGAAAATGAGAAGAAGAAAAGGGAGATAGCAGAAAAGGAAAAGGAAAGAATAGAGCGTGAAAAGGAAGAATTAATGGAACGCTTAAGGCAGATTGAGGAACAAACAATGAAAGCTCAGAAAGGTGAGATCTTACTGGTCCTAGATTTCTTATATCTGATGACAATGTTTAGTTCAGTTGGATAGTTCAGTTCCACAATTCTCTTGGTATGTGTGTTTTTTGGGTTTTTTAAATTTATTTTATTAATAATAACAAGTATTCAGTGATGTATTAGTTAATTTAAGAAAAGAGATTCTTTTTCAATGTTAAGAATTAAAAGATGGTGTGTGTATGTGTATATTTGTAATATAAAACCAATTCCTAATATAGCAAAAGTTTTTCAGTTTTCTTTAATAAAAAGGAAATTAATGCGTACACAGTTCAACTCAGCATTATGTAATGTTTAAAGTGCTGAAAACCTGGAATTGGAGGGAGCAGGGAAATTAGAGAGGATGATTCAAAGTACTTCCTCTAGGATTCTGTTGCATTTAGCTTATCGTTTGGAAATTTCTTGTTCTTTCATTTTCCTATTCCCTTGTAAGATTTGAGAATTCTAAAATTAAAATCTTGTCAGATTTTAGTGAATAAACAAAGTTTTACCAATAACAGTTCTTTGTGTTGAACCACCCTGTAGAGTCCCTGCTTCACTACTTCCCAGTCCCTCTTCTCCATGTTCTTTTTTTTGCTTCAGGTTTGGTTCACATTCATAAAAGTTCTGTTCCTCTCTTCTGTTCGTAACTGTTGGCTTCAGGCACGATGGTTAGAATCACTGACTAAATCTATGCAAATGAATTACATATGCCTGGCACTGTTCTCTAGCTCTACCCCTGTATTTTTCAGTCTTTCAATGCAGAACAGGTTGGACACATTCAGACAGGTAACACATGAACTGTGCCTTGGAATTGGTGAAGGGAGAGCTATTTAGCCCAGGACAAACAGTGTCAGGGTGATTTTAAAGGTTTAACAATGTACATTTTCTTGTAACTTTTGTAAACAATATAGCCTGACTTCTGATGTAATACATAATGTTCATGTGTTGCTGGTCTTTTTAGCCTTCTGTTGACATATGGAAGTGTTTATATAAATGGTGTCTGCGTTCTGTAGTTGACTTGGTAGTTAAGTGTTCCCCATCTTCATGGGAAGATTTTGTTTGAGTAGTGTATTTAAATATTTATGCATTTTATTTAATTTTCTAAGTACTGCATTTGTACGACTCCACATACTTTTAATGCTGTTCATTTCCTTTTATAACTGAAGCAGTAGGCCTGGGAAACCAACTGAAGAATATTGATTGCATGAGGCCTACTTCAGACTACAAGTGCAAAGATTAAGCATGTGTCAGCATACCTGGGGAGATGCTTTTTTAGTATTAAAGCATATGGTGAAGGGCAAATGGATTGTTCCAATAACTGAGCAGTTGTTTAGGTTTTCTGGTGAAGTAATCTATGGCAGCTATGCCTAGACAAAAACATAGTGGAAAATTTATCATTAGAATCAGCAAGGAGCTTCAGAAAGACTTTTTTCATAGTCACTTCATTTTGCACATCAGAGGAGTGTATTTTGCCTGTGCAAATCTTATCTTGCAGTACTGGTAGATCGTTACTTCTTCCTATTTCACTCAGAGTTCTGCCCTTTAGATAGCGATATTTTGCTAACCAGGCAGCTAGATGACTCTTATCCCTCCCTTGATTTAAAATTTTCCTGTTAGCACCTCTTTGGCTCTGTTCTATGGCAATTTTTCTGACCCTTTCAATGGGTCTTAGGTCATTTTGCTGAAGGCACATGCCTAAATTGTCTGTTGCAATTAAGGAATCTTTGTCAGGCATTTCAGTAGAGTAGAAGAGGGTTTTTTTTCTTTTTTACTGTAAGAGAGTATGATTTAATGTATATAAAATCTCCTCAGTGGTAAGAGTGAGGGTGTATGTGCATGTATATGTACATATATTTGAGTGTTTAATCAGTGGGGTGATAATTTTCTGAAACACTGGGCTGTCAGAACTGTCAGGTGAGATGAAGTATATCCAAAGTATGTCTTAAAGAGGGGGAAAAATAATCAGACATGGAGCATAGCTTCGGGTAACATGCTCAACAGCTCTTCTTAGCTTGAGGTAGCCTTGTAAATCTTTGTCAGTTTTCTAGGTTACTTTATTTTGACCATGATGCAGCTGTTACCTGTGTTACATATGAGGACGAGCTAGGTAGTGATATCTTGTCTGCAAACTTTCCTTTTGGCAGAGCTAGAGGAACAGACTAGAAGAGCTCTAGAACTGGATCAAGAACGAAAGCGTGCAAAAGAGGAAGCAGAGCGCCTGGAAAAAGAGCGTCGCTAAAGCTGCTCTAGCCAAGCAGGCAGCAGATCAAATGAAGAACCAGGAGCAACTAGTAAGAAGCTGTAACCCTATTTTGAAACAGATTTAAAAAGATAGTTGAAAATTTAGCCTTTATTCTTGGTTATATCCATCTTGTCAAGTGGACAAGTATGTTGAAACAGATAAAAATACCTTTACAGATTGCTGTGGGAACGTTTTTAGAAACTGCATTAGATTTGCCACTACTTGCAAGAAAAAAAACCTCTGGGGCTGTAGGAAATTAAATGAAGTAGACATTTCAGACTGACAGCACCCACTACATTCTCTTTCTAATAGTGTCAGGCTTATGCAGCTGAGAACAAGAGTAGCTTCTTTCTGCAGTCCACTGGGAAGCCTGTTCTCTGAAGCAGGTCTGTTCTGAAGCTTGATGGTGGTGGTGGGGAGTTGGTGACACTGTGGGGGTTTTTTTTGTTGTTTAGTTGGGTTTTTTGTTGCATTTTTCCCCTCTGTTTCCAACATTTACAGTATCTTCTCACGTTCTGTGCTAGACTACTTCTGATTCAAGATTTGTGCATAATCACTGAGAAAGGCATGAAAAGAGTAGAAGAAATGATTTCGCAACTGTAAAACAGCTTTGATCTTCTGTAACATTAGCACACAATTCTGAAGGCAAGATTTAGCTTAATAGTACTGAGATTATGATCCAGAATCATAACCTTATTGGTGGAACCATTAAAGTTGTATTAAACTGAAACAGCCTCAAATGCTGATTTGTAACTACAGCTCGCTCTTTCCCAGCAAGCTTTGGAAGTGCAGAAGAGAAATATTTTTTTTCTGGACTTATTTCCATCAGGCAAGCATACTGATTCATTCCCTCTGTCATGTATGCTTAAAATTTCTATTTTTAGCAGAGAAGCGATGAATGGTAACTAACTCTTCAAGTCAGATCAGCTGTCAGAACAGCAAAGGTTCTGCTTTCTTCCACTGCAGACCCAAAATGATACCAAATTAAAACTTCCACTTCATTTTTTTGTTTGTTTCAGGCAGCAGAACTTGCTGAATTCACTGCCAAGATTGCGCTTCTAGAGGAGGCCAAGAAAAAGAAAGAAGAGGAAGCCTCAGAATGGCAGCACAAAGTAATGAGCTCATGCTGTGTGAAGTCATAACTTCAAAGAAACTAAGGGAGATGAGTGCATAAATCCCACTGGAAGTCCATGGGATTGAATGTCTCTCCCTTAGGCTTCAGAGAAGCCTTTCTTAAAGGTTTTTGTTCTCCAGTCTACTGAAGCCAGCCTATACTTAATATTAAATAGTCATGAAGGGGGGGAAATTCTCATCACAAAGGTATGGTCAAAGATTTGAAATGGATTCCTTACATATGGTGATGAAGTAGATTGGAGCTTTGCTGGAAAAGAAAACATCTCAGGAGAGATGTATAAAATCATGAGTGGTGTTGAAAAGTTGAACCAGAACAATAACAAAGGCACATCAAATGCAACTGGATAATAGTTCAAAGCAAAACAGTATTTCTTCACAAAATCTGTAATTAGCTATGGGATGTGAATACTAAAAAGTGATTGAACAAATTCTTGTAAGTTCTGGTTGAATATGAAATTTGAAGACATCACCTTTGATTTAGGAAGTCCCTGAGCCTCCAATTTCAGGAGGCTAGGAAAGTTGGAAAGCAATCAGTATGACTGCCCTATTCTCTCACTCTTCTGTTGCCTAGTGCTGGAAATAGCTGGACTCCGGTACAGCTGGTATTGAGTCATATCTTTTTTACCCTGTATTCCTATCTGACAATTTTCAGTGCGTAAGCTAGTCGTGTCATTTATAAAGGACAGTTTCCACATGTCTGAAAACATCTCCAGTGTTTATTTTAATTTTTCTGACTATTCATAAATCATTTTAAAAGCTGCTAAGTACTGTTTACTATATTTAGGCTTTTGCAGCCCAAGAGGACTTGGAAAAGACCAAAGAAGAACTGAAATCTGTGATGTCTGCTCCTCCACCTCCTCCCCCACCAGTTATTCCTCCAACAGAGAACGAACACGATGAACATGATGAGAACAATGCTGAAGCCAGTGCAGAACTGTCTTCTGATGGTGTCGTGAATCACAGGAGTGAGGAAGAACGGGTAACAGAAACACAGAAAAATGAACGTGTTAAGAAACAGCTCCAGGTAATGAAGATTCATAGTTGTATCAACATAATTCAGGCTTTGGGTTTTCATTCTTTATTTGTCAAAAATCTCATTGAAATTACGGTGTGCCAAGGAAGCACTTTTTATCCTTTACTAGGTTTATTACTAATTTACTAACCAATATCATTCATAGTGTTCTAGAAGTGGAACAGATAGAAACATTGGATGTAAGATTGTGCTTATAGCTTAAAAGTATTAGTATGTTGCCACCTTGGCCAGTAAACATTTGTAATGATTACATTAAGTCCAGGACACTGAATCTTAAAACGTGATGCTTTCATTTCTCAATACTGAAATTCATTAAGCAGTATGAACAGATGCTTGCTTAATAGTATTTGTGTTTATTTGCAGTCATTCACAGACATTGTGAATATAAAACCTGAATTATGCCTGTTTTGGCTTAATCTTATTTCCCTGAAATGGAGCATTTCCTCCGAGACTAGTCTTACTCGCCATAGTATAATAATCTATGTTAGTGGTAACCTTTTGCCTTGTTACGAAATCTCTATTTGGGAAGGAAATAAAAGAAATGGAATGCGGCTTCTTTTTCTGGTAGCAGTATCTTAGTAGCATGTATGTGTAATATCCTTTCTGCTTGGCCAATCGCTGAACAGGATCAAGGAAATAAACAAGAGCTGTCTTTAGTCAAGCAGAAATTGAAAAATAAGGTCATTCTCCTGCTTTATCCTGATGGTCCCTTTCTTCTTGGCTGTTATGGTATGAGGCTTTTTTTTTTTAGTTTGATGTCCACACTTATGTAAGGAAAGAATCCTATGCACTTCTCTTTCCCTCTGCAGTCTTTCTGATAGACCTTACAACCTGAGTTACTGAACAGCACAACACGCGTTTCATAGGTTGGCATTCAAGAAATCCTTATCCAAGTTGCAGAATAGTTGTTATCAGAAATTCCAGAATCATTAAAAGATTAGTCAAAGCACTTAAATGCAAATATTTTATTCAACAGGCTTTAAGTTCTGAGTTGGCTCAAGCCAGAGATGAAACCAAGAAAACACAAAATGATGTCCTTCATGCTGAGAATGTTAAAGCAGGCCGTGATAAGTACAAGACTCTTCGACAAATCCGACAAGGCAATACAAAGCAGCGTATTGATGAGTTTGAAGCAATGTGAGCTGTTATTTTGCATATATGTTCCTCGTAAAGCTGAACCACCAACAGAGAAAAAAGCAGGCCTTTGCAGATTTGATGGATTGCACCCCACTTTGCCAAAGCACTTAATACCAGTTTGACTACAGTGGCTAGAAGACAAATTTAGGGGAAGCTACTCAACAGTAAGGCAGTCTGTCATCCTTAGCTTTTTGGGGGGAGGGTGTGGAGAATTGTAGCAGTTTTTTTCCCTATAACGTTTTCAGTTTCATATTTTTTTTCTTTGGAAACTGATGTGAAGTATATAATGACTGACAAGTGTATGTATTGCTTAAACATTAAGAAATAGAAAGAAGAATGGAACTGAACCTAAACTGGACAGGTACTATTTCAGTATGAAGTTTGAAATCACATTTTTCAATGTAGCTAGACCATTAGGAGTTTGATATTGCTGACTTTCAGTTTTTTCTTCCAAGTGAAATTCTTTGGTGTTTCATGTCCTGTCATCATTGATGGTTTTCTTTGCCTACCTGTTCACAAAGGTCTGGATGGCAGGTGGTAGTTCCAGGAAATATTTTTAAATGGAACGCTACCTGTGGGCAGCACGTGGCTGCTGGTAGGCTTGAACAAGTATTGCTTTTCCTAGGTGATTCTTTTAGATGCGCAAAATGTTCTAATGCAGCAAAGGAAAAAAAAAAATACAAAGCTTCATGTGCTATTTGCTTGTAATTATTTTATTTGCAGTAGGGAGACCTGGACCTTTCTGGCAAGGGAGCATATGAAAACATCAGTCCCAGGGAGGGGACAGTATCCTACCTCACTACTATATACATGATGACTGGTCCTTCAAACACCATGAAAAAAACTGTTTAAATTGACTATCACTACACAGTGATTTTATAGAATGCTAGGAGCCCTTACTCCTAGGATTTTGTTTTCCTTTAAGATGGATTTATAGTGCTAAATACTGTCTAACTGCCTTTTGTTGAGTTTAAATTGTAAAAGCATCTTGTGTGTTTTAAAGCTGTAACCTGTCACTGGTATACTATCTCCTGGGAGGGGTGTAGAATGTGCATGTGAGTTAGTTTGGTTTTGGGTTTCTAAATACAAAATGAAAGTTCCCAGAATTTGAGTAAAAGCGTTCGTAGCTTCAGTTTTCAGTGAAGCTAGTATTGTAATTGTCATATCTGATGTCAGATCATTGTTATTAAGTCCTTTCCCTCTTGAAAAGGTGACCTGTTTTTTTGAGAAATTTGCTTAGAAATTGAACTTTAGAAATAACTTTACAGTTAATGTGGACTGCAGTTATTGCTTCTGTTATAGTACTAGTAAATATCTACAGTGAAAGAACCCTGCTTTCTCTGAGGATGGTTCAGCTCTTTTCTGTTTGATATTATGCACTCATAAATTTACACTTATCTATTAAAATTTGCCATTTTATTAAACATTTTTTCATGCACAATAGGTTTAAATTTCTTATGAACAGTCCAACTAAGTTTGTTTTTTTTAATTATTATTTTGCGGACTTAAAGGTTGGCTATGTGGGGTGACATCATGAAAATAAAATAAAGATACATTAATATATTTTTGGTTTGTGGGGCTAAACATATCTGGTTGACCATGAAGACTGATGTGCAGATGATGTGCACATGCTTCAAAATGCTGCTTGGTGGAAGTTGGTGTTTCTACTTGCAGTGCATTGTAAGAACAGTTTTTGTTTCACAGGCTTCATACAGTGAAGCTTAAGCAAATTTCTGAAGTATTCGAACAGATTGCCATAGCAGGTGAAATACTGTGCTTCCAGTGAGTTTTGATTTTTCCCTGGAAAGTGTACACTAACACTGATAAATCAGTTTCAGTGTTGGCAAAAAATACCAGTAAAGTTTGCTGTTCATAAATCTACAATATATAGAGTAGGGCTAAATGGATTAGATCCATTTATAAAGCTGTGTGATTTTTTTTTTTTTTTTCCCTAAACAACTAGGAACAAACATTTGTAATATGGATTTTCACAATGAACAAAGTGATAATAGCTGCTGTCATCAGCAGTTGGGAACACTTACTGGTGCAAAAATACTAAGAATACATTTAATGATTACTTGGTGAAGAAATTTTCCACATGCTTTTTCCTTTAGCATCATGTTTTGTGTTGTACAATTAAGCTACAATTACATCTACTATTTTGGATAACATTCATTGGTTAACAATAAAGAGATACAGTTAATTTCTCTGAGGTCCATTGTTGTTATTTAACGTACTTTTTTCTGACAGCTTTGCCAAATGCACTGTAATAGCCTTTTTCCAGAGCAGCGTACAAATTTTGATCATCTTTTGTTTCACACTCTGGTCAAAATTAAATTTTAAAGAAAATATTTTCAAATTGTATCCCTAGAGAATGGTATTCTGCTTAAGAAATTACCACATATAGCTGGGAGGAAGCACTGGTGACTGTCAATTCAAAACAGGATGTGAATCATCAGAGTAAATTGGCTTTCTTGAGAACAGAGGGTAATTTGGCCACATAAGAGCTCTATGGGTAATGTAAGAACTTTCAATCACTGCCTACATATTGCTTAGCCCCAGGTTAAGTGAGATTTAGTTTAACAGGTCAATGTCTTAAGCACTGAGAAACCTTGATACGTTTTTTTGATACTGCACATTATAGTGGACAGTGCTGTCAAATATATGCATGGCCATATGCTTTAGATAATGGCAAGTTTATGGGCTTTTTCACCGAATACACTTGGAGACAGCAGGAACAGTCCCATATAAATAGGTATACAAATTAATCTGCTAAGCAGCTCTCACATAAATTAGACCTTCTCTCAGGTGACATTCAGTTCTATCTTGTATTTGTTTGGCCTTGCACTCAATACAAGCACGTGACCCTTTTTGTTACTCCATATGGCAGAATTGCTATGATGAATTAAAACGGGTGTACTTGGTACATTTTACCATGCATATTTCTAGTTGTACACGTCTGTCTTCTTGGAGCCCCTCCTCCTGAAGCATTAGATTTGATGCTTCTCATTTGTTAGAGAGCTTCTGCATGGGTATGTAACTACAGAATATTGTGCCTTAAAGGGGAGGTAAGTACTTTGAAAGGCGTTTGGGTTTTGGTATTTTGGTTGGTGTTTTGTTTTTTTTTTTTTTGGTTGGTTGGGTTTTTTTAAATATGCTCTTGAGGTGGAGAGAAAAGGATACAAAATAGTGCCACTATTTTCAGGCCAGACTAATACAGTCACCCAGAATGCCTCGATGTGAAAGAAGATATTCTATCTTCTGGAAGTTAGTCCCCTCTGCACATCAAAACCTACATTTTCTGTTGGTTATACTCTTCGAGTACATGTTTCTTGTATGCTCTGTTTATTTTGTCCAAAATGGAACTTTTGAATGGAACGGCCTTTTTAAACCTACTTTGGAAAGCATTATTGTGCTTTTGCCTCTTTCTTAAAACATGTTCTCTAGAGCTGGTCGAGTAACCTGCTTAAGCACCTCTGAGGAAAAAGGAGCTTTGTTCTAAATGAAATAGTTTAATCTTCTGAGGAGAAAGGACCTGAAATATATTTTCTTAATTTTTTAAAAGGAAGAATAGAGATTAAAATTAGTTAAAACCTTTTGCTTTCAAAAAGGAATTTTTATGCAAGTGTTTTCCATGTCTGTTCACATGTGGATTATCTAAAAAGTCTTGTTCTCCCCAAGGCATCAGATTAGTTTCGAGAATGGGGGATTTTAACAAAGATGATGTATCCCAGTGGGATGAGGTTGTTGATGCTAGTGTTCATAAACATACTTTCTGGGTAAAAATATCAACATAAGAAAGTTGAAACCTTTACGAGAGAGCAAAGTTCACTTATTAATAGACATTGTCTCATACACATAACGTAATGTGTCTTGGCTGGGTGATAAGATTTTCCTGGAAAATACAAGAAGTGTCAATGGATCAGCATACAAACTGTGGTAATTTCTTTGACCCCCTCAGACCATATTCTGATGTTTGTGCTTAGAGATGGCAAGTACCTGTCTCGCAGCCGAAATGCCGTGCTGGCTGGTCAGCTGGGTGGGTGGCTAGGAGATGGTTTTGGCTGGCCATCATGGGCACCGACCAGGCGGCATGTCCCTCTGCTCCGCTCCCAAGCAGGCCACGCAGCGTCTCTTTCCTCCCCAACCAATTGGTCTGCAAGCATGTGTGGTTTACACAACTGGCCCTTTTCCCAGTTTTGGGGACCCAGGCAGCAGCAAGGAGCAGCTTGGGGTTGGCAGGGATCTCCTAACAGTGAAGAGTAATGGTAGAGGACTATTAGGAAAAAAAAAAAACCCACAACCCCAAAACCTTGTGGTGAGCTAGGATCCTTAACTGGCCCATTTATTCACTTGTGATGAGGACTCCTTTTCAGTGTACTGCTGCAGCATCCCTAAATTCAGTGTGTGTGACCAATAACTTGTTTAGCAAATTCAACAGCCAACTTGGTGGAGGGAGCTGCGCTTTTTGTTTCACAGAGCTGAGCCCAGATCTATAGGCATAGGCCAGTTACCTGATTTTGTTTTGATTCATGGAGTCTATGACTTGTGTTCACTTTACTGTTTGCAGATTCTGGGTTGATAAATTGCTCCTTTGGAGTACAGTTAGGTAGACTTTGACTTGTTTTGCTTTTTCTCCCTTCACTGTGCAAAGACTGCTGACATATCAAATGTATATGTTTCATTTAATGTGAATAAAGTGGACTCACCAAAGCCCAAAAAACCTCCCCCCAAAACTCCAATCCCAAACAATCAAATTTCTTCACAAGAAGAGACAACAGTATTTGCAGCAGTGCCTGCAACATTCTAGATACTCAGGGAAAGATAGATTATGCCCACATAGCTCATATTTTAGGGAAAGACAAAGTTAGCAAAGGGAAGTAGAGCATTTGGAATTGCTGGGATTCCATTAGGTGTTTATATTGGCTTTTGTAAATAATGTGTTGGCGTGTTTCTGTTCACAGCAGTAGGCTTTAGGCAGCAGAAGAAACGAGGGGAGATGGAAATGCACATCAAAGGAGGCGGCCTGGTTGGTGCAAATATTCCTAATGCACGTGTGCGTAAGAATTAATGTTCCCTGTGCTCTGGATAAGTGGATCAGGTGAAAAGAGATCATGCTCAGAGGTAGGACAATTGCATTGCTGCTTTTTGCTTGTTTAAGGTTTTCTTTGCTTTTAAACTACCATAGTTAGACAAGAGGAGTTGCCATTATCTGAATATTTAACTGAAGACTTTTAGAAAGCCTGCTGCCCAGCACTAAAAGGTCTTGGAGTTCTTAAGGCCATGTGTACCCTGACTGGCCTCTATTACAGCTTGTTAATTTCAGCAGAAGACATCTTCTGTGGTCTGATAATTTTGCCTTAGAGCATTTCTGCCTTGCCAAGACGAGAGTTGTGTACGTGCACGGT